AAATGGAATACTTTTCATTAAAAAAAATGTAAACAGCGTTCTCAAGTTTTTTGTTGTTATTTGACGCCCTTGTTGAAATCAAATATCATAGTGGTTGTCGGGGGGGGGGGGGGCCCAGCTCGTAGCTTTGGCCACCAGCGGGGGGGGGGGGTGGCACCTCGTGCCCCCGCGCTCGCTGCCACGGTAGCTAGGAGATGTTAACTTCCTCGCTGGTATGCAGGATGCCGTGGGTTCGATCCCCACCTTGAACCCTGCTGTATATTTGGAGTTTGCGGTGTCTCTCTTCCCGCGGTCGCGTGCATTTGTTTGTCTCCGGCTTCTCCCCTCCACGTTCTAGAATCAACATCACGGGGTTTCGAGTATTATTTGTGCAGCAACACATTGACTCGCGATGATATCAGCAGCCACTTCGTCGAGCCATCTGCTTTGTGAGAGCCAGAGGGCTTACCTGGTATACAATAACACTGACAAAATAGTTTAGTTCTGCTCCTGGTCGGTCCGTGCAAAGCCTACGGCACTCACCGCCTCTCCGGCTGGTTGACGTCTCATCATCTCCTCCCTCCTCCTACTAGACCCCACGCACACGCGAGGCATTGTAATATTTACGCAAACATTAAACCCCACCCCCGCCCTGGCCTTCGCAACACTGACTCACAAGTGGTGACCTCACGTCATGTCCCGCTAGTTAAGAACCGAGGCCACCACCCAAGGTCATCAATCATCCCCACATCCTCTTTTAGTTCCTTGCAATGCTCGATTGTTCCCGTCGTCATCAACAGCACCTCGTCTCGCTGCGATATGTACAAATACACAGGACGCGTGTGTGTGGTGCACACGCCTCCACCTCGCTCCTTCACAGCATCACCCCCCCCCTTCCTAGCCCCCCCCCCCCCCAGCAGCCCAGGGATAGACGATGAGAATAATCTCGGGATTGTTAGACGCACTCAATAACCCCCCCCCCCTGCCCCCCCCCCGTCACGCTACGTTAAAGCAAAAGTTTGGGAGTGCGTCTTATACTCCGGTAGCTGTGTACGGTGTTAACTTTATTTATACCGGGAAGACATCTGGAGTGGTGTCTTACTTCCCGGATCGTGTCTTATACTCCGGAGAAAACGGGGGTAACGATTATTCATCGATTAATTATCGATTATTTACATTGATTAGTTTTTGGCTCCAGGTATGTTGCATAGAGTATGTTCACGCCCGCGAACGAGTGTCGATTCTTCTTATTACTTTTAACCCGGCACGCGGAGGCACCCGCAACGAACAGAGTTGCTGGACAGTCGGCTCGGGAATCACGAGACGGAACGACACCGCCAACGCAGACGGAACGACACCGACACCACCAACGCAGACGGAACGACACCGACACCACCAACGCAGACGGAACAAACGACACGAACAATCGGACAAAACGACGCAACCGAGACGGCACGAACGAGGCAGACTCTCACCCCCCCTCCCTCCCTGAGATGATAAATCTCGACTCCAGAGTCCCAGAATCCGCAACCTTCGCCCGAATCTCTCGGCGTGCGGAGGTGGCGAGGTGAACGCACGCAGGGACTGTCTGCTTCGGGTTGCCACCTGTCCCGGGATGTCCCCCCAGGATCGACCTCGTTATTGAAGAGGCAGCTCTGACGGCCTCCTGGGAGAGCCGAGCCCCCCCCCACACCCCCTACCCCCCCCAACCCCCTACCCCCCCCTCACCCTCCGCTTGTTTGATGAGAACGGTTGTGGTAGAGTGATGGTGGCGATGATGGTGATGATGGTGGTGGCGACGATGGTGGTGGCGATGATGATGGTGGCGATGATGATGGTGGCGATGATGGTGATGATGGTGGTGGTGATGGTGATGATGGTGATGATGATGGTGGTGGTGATGGTGATGACTGTGGTGATGGCGGTGGTGATGGTGGTGGTGATTGCGGTGGTGGTGATGGTGGTGATGATGCACGCGGTGCACCATTTCCCACCAATCGTTGGGAGTCATTTCGGCCACATCCACTTCGCCTCGTCGCGTTAGTCTCGTTTTTGCAACGCAGCTGACACGATTATTTCAACGCGGGACAAAGAGAGTTGCATCGTATAGGATTATTATCGGGCAGGCTTTGCCACTCCGACGGTTGCGCCCCCCAACGCCGTGGAAGCCCGGATTTTTCTCTGGGTCCTCCGGCGTTGCTGATAGATGGACTAGTAAGGCCTATGATCAGTGGGCAGAGTATATTAACAGTTGGCAGTGTAGGCATGGCTATGTAAAGTAGGAGGGGGACAGATAGAGGGGCGACCAACTCACTGTGTGTCCTGGTTGAGCCTTGCAAACATTCGGTAGCCTTCAGCAAAGGGCAATGAACACATCGTGGTTATTGCCGCTGCCTTTTCCCATATCAAGGCCCGGTTGGTGCGTCATGCCCAGTGAGTTTTTGTTTTGCTATTCATCTTCGTGATTATTTGTGCGTGTTTTGCAGTTAGTTTTTTCTGTTTACACACCAGGAACACAAACCATTGTAGATATTGCATACAAGTGTAGTGGCGGTACGCGCTGACAAGGGGGGAGCGTGTGTGAGCGCGTCGGGTGTGGCTACATCGCGTGGTATAGTGGTGACGCGCGCTGACAGTGATGGATCATGTGCCGGCGCGTGGTGAGTGGTTGTGTGCACTGACACAAGATGGGAAAAAGGATCGTGTGGCAGCGCGTGTTGATTGGTCAACTGGGGTGGGTGCTCTAATCGAGGTCCGCATGGGCTCCGTCTCCCCGGGAGCGGAGCACTATAAAGGGGGATGCGCGGGAGCGCTCGGGGAGTTGTTAACCAGTGAAGATCGAAGACGGAGTTGGAAGAGACAGGGCCCTGAGACCCCTAGTCCCGCTGTCCTTGTAAGGGCTGGGACCCTGTGCGGCTCAGAGGCGAGACCGTGGGACCCGCGGCCTGACGTCCTTGTAAGGGCGAGGCTGTGGGACCCAGTGGTCGAGACCCAGACCCCAGTTGGGGTGGGTTCCCTAGAAGCTACGGGGCGTAAGAGCCCGTGTGTGTGTAGCCGGGGGAACCTCGTAGCATGGCTGCAGTTGGTCACACGTGTTAGTGAGTTGGTGTTAATAAAAGTGTGCTACCCGTCAAGTCGTCTCCCGCCCAAATTCCTACATTACACAAGCAACCATGACAAAATGTAACAATTTCAGGATTTTTATTTCATTTACGAATAAATAATTGACAGTTGAACACGTAGGGTTTTACTTACATAAAAAATATATATTTACATAATGTACAGGTGATCTTGTTAAGCCTTCCGAAATTCTTCTGAGAGATGCCCGCTTGGCAAAGGAATCTCCCGATTAACAAAACAGTCCTGCAGGCAAACACAACACACACACACAGGGATTAATGTGGACACTCCTGGCAGCCCAGCAGCCCCACGTGGGGTTTGAAGGGCCAACCAGTGGCAGCGTGCCAATAGAATGCCTCGCTCTGGTCTCTTGAGTGCTGTTAACGTGAATATTTTACAAAGTTATTTTAATGTAGCTGATGATTCTTGTGCAGGAAGCAATGCACGCCGGTCAGAGGCTTTTTCAGCCCAAACCGAACTTGTAGAGAAGTTCTAGACGCGTGCGTGGTTGTTCTATTTGTGTGTTTATTGATCAGTCCGGCACACGCGTGAAGAGTTGCCTGGCAAATGTCCCGATCCACCATCGAGCTCTTCCCTCAACCCTTCCCTGCCTTTCCCCTTCAACCCTCCTGGCCAATCACCTTTCACCCATCCTCCTGCTCCTCCCATTCAGGTGTGAGGTCGATGATTGTAATGACCTCACCCACTATCCCTGGTGTAATGCGGTTGGGAATGATGTCATTTGTGAGTTATACACAAGCCTGGGGTAGGACTGGCACACATCCCTGATGATGTACTCGAAACCCCGTGTGAAGGGGAGACCTGGTGATTCAGGCAATTAACGATTAACCCTCCCTTTGTGTGTACGCATGCCACGATGAAAGGAGAATTACTAATTTATTTCTGGGAAGTGTTTCCCAACTTCCCGACACGGAAAAATTTGCATTAAGTGACTAAGTGGATATGGGGCTAATTATGTGTTTGAGTGCAAAGCCAGCACCACTCAGATCCTGGGTTTGAATTGAGGTTTCAGCCACCTGTGATTAAACCGGAGTCTCAAGTGTAGCGAGTTAAAGGTATTATCCTGGTCACAGATAACTTCACAAAGAAAAATACCTTTGTTCAACTCAGGTTTTCATCTAATTTGGATTTTCGAACTCTAACATTCATGTGATTGACATGTACTTACAAATTCTTTGACAATAATTACACCCACACACATGGTACTAACTATGCCCTGAATGAATGTAACTTCGGCCACATTGAGTGTTAACACTACTTCAGGATGGCCCTGTTTTGGGATGTTTGGCGAATTCCGTGAAGGCAAGTTTGTCGATTGGGAAGAATCCAGAGTCTCCGGAGAAAACCCATAACATATTTGGATAAACACAGCTCCGCATAGTTAAGTTAAATCCGCTGCTGTACTGACGTCTCCTGACCAACTCGCAATGTGCCCACTCAGGATAAGATGGCTATTGCTGCGAGTATGGATAAAGGGAGCTCCTGAGTGACTTCAGATATCATTACGTGATGTCAACTTCCGCAGCTGTTATGACTTAAGGTAATGTTACACATATTGCTGTGCGAGTCTTGACAACGACACTGGAAAATATATGCATGTGTCAAAGTTGTGTCGTCAAAGCCGGTACCTCGAGGAACAGCCTCAGTCTGACCACAGCTCCCATCTGCTGCGGGTGGACACCTTCTCGATTCTGCAGGACAAGAACAGACGCAGCGAGTTTAGTTGCACATCCATCGATTCTTACAAACTCCCGGCTCCAGTCCATAACCGGTGAGCATCACCAACCACAGCTTGAAGCTCGTTCAGAGACACACTGTCACGGGAGCCTGCTGTCGACAGCTGACTTCAGTCACGTCGATCACATCGCTACTGCCTCCCTGCCAATTGCTGTGGGTGCAAAACTGGGCTGGTGAAGAGTCTTCCAAGAGCCAGAGTTTATGATCCGCAGGGGAAAGTTACGGCTGTGTAAGGACCCTTCTCTTTGTCCAAGTGCAATGCTACTTTGATATTAGCTGGCGACTTGACGAGGTGATTCAGTCTATTGCCACAACATAAAAACAGAAAGAAAATCGCGACTTCAGGCGTAAATGCAAGGAACACGTGCAAATATAAATGGCTCTGTGAAGGTGAGATGGTGACTAGGTTCTGCCACTGGGTGAGAGGTACCTTGGGATGTATTCTTTCCTTAACACATCGAGCAGCTCCCAGAGCTGATCGCCGTATGCAACCTCCATGGCACTGCCTGCCACCTGCTCACACACGCCAGGAGCACGTCAACAAGTCACAGGGCAGCCTCGTCTCTATCACAACGCTTGTGCGCTGTGTGCTCGTGCGTGTGCTCGTGTGTGTGCGCCGTGTGTTCGTGCGTGCGCTGTGTGAGCGAGCTGTGTGCTCATGCGAGTGTGCTCTCGTGCGTGCTCTCCTGCGTACCTCCAGAAAGCCGAAGAGCACGGTGGGGGTGACATTGGCCATGGGCTCCATATCCAGGACCCGCGTGAGCCAGGACCAGCCGTGACTCACGCCGTGGGGGTGGCTCTGCGAATCACGCACACAACGCGCGTGGGGTAGGGGTGGGAGGGATTCGTCAATTTAAAATCCCATTCTCGTACTTGCGCTACACGGAGCCAATGGCTTATGATTTAAGCAAATCGCATGCATACAATGTCACACGTAGCCTAGCAGAGCGAACCAAACTGTACGTGACGAAGAGAGTGAGGTCTGATTCTTGGAGCAAGGTGAGGCTACCTTGTCGCCACTGGAGGGAGACACGGGTGCAGAGACGATGGCCGCGTACAGGCGCGCCATGCCCGACATTCTCTGGAGGAACAAGTCTTCGTCCTCTAGTGTCCCATCCTCGAAGCGGTAACCGAGGATCCTGCGGGTGATGGGGGGAGACACGGGCATCACGCACACGCCATGTGCACCCATAGCCCTCACCGTTCACTCCTCACTCCTCACCCCCCACCCCCCACCCCATGTCCCCAGTGCCCTCACCTGAAAGCGTCCTCCTGGCTCTGCCCAGGCGTGGGACGAGGGAAGAAAGGGGCCAAGTAGGGGCACTTGCTCAGCAGGTGAGCGAGCAGGAGCTCCCCGATGGCTGGGTGCCGGTGCCACAGTTCCACGGTGACAGCCGCGATGGGGAACGCCGCCGCGTGGTTCCACCCCACCTCCTCCTCGCTCTGCTTCTGTAGAAGCAGAGACGCAGGGGGAGTGAGGGTGAGGTGAAAAAACGACACCCTCAACATTAAGTCCATCTGCCGGAATGCAGGATCCGGCCGAAGTGAAAGCAATGACAGCGAGGTGTGGCATGGCATAAATGGCATTGTCCATGATGACCTCTTGAACTTGAACGCGAGTGCCTATGAGTGAAGGACACATCAGGGGGTTAACTGTTGTTAATAAGGATGGGCTTATTGGCCCCAGATACAAATCATCACTGGTGATGAGCCTGTCACTCTTGTTGCGGTGCATCAATTATCTATCATAACGGCTGTGTGTTGCCTGGTCTGTCTTCCCGTAAAAACACATGAATCCCTTCGATCCGTCATCCATCCATCGGTTCCTGTAGCCGAGGTGGCATTCGGTGGTCATTCGTTGCCATTGGTCAGTAACAGATTTGTTTCACCAAGTAAGAGCTCATTGGGAAACGCAAGTGTCATTTGAAACCGAGACCAGGTGTCCATCGAAGACACCGTAACGGCATGCGTTTTCAAAAAGTGAAGCTCATCCGTCACCTGTCGGGCGCCGTATTCACAGCAATGCCTTGTTTGTCAACCCTGGCCTTAATTAATTAATGATTGGAAACATTACAGTGTGGCCTGTGGCTCGGAGAGAGGTGGCTAGAGTTTAAAACTTGAGATAGAATATTTTGTCAGGGTTAGGGGTAGCATTAAAGGATTCCTTGGATTAATTCCGGGGTAAGGAAAAAGTTGGTTATGGCAAGGTCTTTGCTAAGCTAGGGCTCGTATTGTATTGCATTAGGACTAGGTTTTATTACGAAAGGGGCTAGGGATTTGGTTTTGCCTTCTTCTTTCGCAGAGCAACAACTACAATTTCACATTCAGGTGGTCAAGCCAGATAGATTTGAGCCTGGGGATTCGTGAAGGATTAGCATTACGGTTCCCACAAACACTCGCTATGTATGTTTCAGTCAAGGCTTTCTGTTCAAGGTTATTACTTGAGCCAAGATAACGGCTTGAGCTTCGCACACGGTGTTATATCCAACCCTCGACTCGGCGGCAATTATCCCAGCATCACCGCCACCGCCCCTGCGAGAGCTTGTAGCGTCGGTGGACGTTGAGGTGGCTTTTGAGGCTGCTCAGGTCGAGGAATGCACGATTGCACTCCGAGCACTGGAAGGGCTTCTCGCCCGTGTGCGTGTACTGGTGACGCTTGAGACTGCAGTAGTATGAAAAGTTCTGCCCGCACATGCTGCAGCGGTACGGCTTCTCGCCCGTGTGCGTGCGCTGGTGCGACTTAAGGTGGGCGCTCTGCGAGAACGCCTGTCCGCACGTCGCGCAGCGGTACGGCCGCTCGCCCGTGTGCGTGCGCAGGTGCGTCTCGAGGTTGCCGCGCTGCGAGAAGCGCTGGGCGCACACGCTGCACCGGAACGGCTTGTTGTCTTCACCGCCCGCAATCGCCGGCACGGGAACCGGCAGCATGCGCCGCCGCCGCACCAGCTTAAAGTTCGGCACGCGGTACGCGGCGGCGGCGGCAGGAGGCAGAGTGTCGCTCCTGGACGGTGCCTCATCCTGCCTGTCAATGTGATCTTCAGTGAGCGGCTTGGGCAGGTAAGCGGCACACATGGGCGGGACCGTGCAGCCAGTGTCAATTTGTATTTTGTCGACCGGCAGCTGCTGCTGTTGTTGCTGCTGCTGCTGTTGAAGCCAGGGATAGGAGTCAACATTGGTTGCATTCGTTAGGTCCAGTCCCATCTCCTGAAGCGAGGTCACTTGTTGGATGACAAAGCCCACATTACCTTGGGAAAAATAATCAGAGAAGTCACTTTAGACGTCATATTGTGGATATGTTTTATTTTATGGCCACGACAGGGCAAAATCAATTCCTTCACCCACCCGCACTGACCAGGAACAATGAAGTATGTTCAAATAACCCCCATGATCTGACCAACGTGGGGTTATCTTCATTCAGCAGCGGATTGACAAAAGGGCAGTACTTGTCCATTAGGCATGCGCGTCTGTCTTTGTCTTGAGGGGGAGCAGTGGCGTAGTGGTTAGCGCACTGCAATACCAATCTGGCGACATGGATTTGATTGCCAGCCATGGCGAAAATCAGTATCTAAGGATTCTTGAAACGGTCCTGGGACCCTCCACCCAGGTTGATTTGGCCTTAAATGAGTACCTGTTGCAATGTGATAATGGCACTGGATTGGAGAAACAAAGGCACGAATATAATTGGAGACAATTTTAACCACGGGACATTTCGCCGTATACGAAAAGCAAAAAACATTCCCACACAAACAATTGAGTGCACGTATCTGCGTGAGAATCAACATTAATCGATGAATGCTTGCATCGTCACATCTCCACGCGGTAAGACATTTGTTTATTTTCAACTCATCTTTACCTCCGCACGCGTCTCTTTCTATCCTGGGCGGCGTCTGGCTGGGGCTGGAGTCTCTCTGGTCCGACGTGGGACTCTGATGATCACCGTCTGAATGGCAGAAGACAACGGACGTGTGGATTAACGCAGACATTTAAAAATGGCACTGCTGCATCTCAGGATGAGCCAGGGGAAGTTCTTTCTCACAGGTGCCCAGCCCGAAGCTTGGGCTGCGATGGCGGATAATTACAGAAGACTTTACGTAGATCAAGTGAACGATCGTGTGTAAACGTGAACAAAACAACAGAAGATGGAAAGAGCAATCAGAGAAAATGTAAATGAACTGCCCTCCCCCCCCCGCCACCCCCACTTTTATCCTTTCGTCAGTTGAGATAACACAGACCCAGAAGAGGAGAGGTTGTCACCCCAACACATAAAGCCGCATGTATGTTATATGATTTATAGCATGGTCCATTTCCAAGTCCCCTCCCACTATACCCGATCTCCCCCTAGAATGTTGGTTACTTCCTCCCGGCTCATCTTCCCCCCCCCCATAAACATAAGCTCCCATTCCCCCCCCCCCCCCCCCGTTAGGGTGGGGTAGCGAGCATTCCTTCCCCACACCTATACATGTTCAAGTGCCAAAAGTCCCCCTCCCCCGCCACCCTTGGTTTTTCTGTACCCCTCCGCAGAAATCATCGACACGTTTTATCGGGCTTGTGCGCTTACCATAATAAAAAAATGCATAAAATGTAAATTTAAAAAAATTAACAGCAATCGTTCAACATTATTGAGGATGAATTACACTTGCACGTACACGTGGTCCTCCGCACGTGTCTGTTTCTATCCTGGGCGGCACATGACCACATGTGTACACATGTACAGCCATTTTTGTCAAGCCATTGCTGGAAGAGGGCCTCCACACGCCGTGTCCGTCACAGGGGTCCTTCAACCAACCATACTTCACCGCGCTGATGAGTGCACGCCTCTGAAGGTTTTGTAATGCGTTCTACCACTGGAGTCTGCATTCAACGATCATTTCTAAAACTGTTTGTTCCATCTTCAAGATTTTTCCTCGTCTTAGTTTGCTATTCTATCAAACCTTGTCATTTTTTCATAATCACATCATGTTACTAAAACCCTCGTCTCCTCAAATCAGCCAATCACAGGGGGCGACAGATAGGATGGGACAGTGTACACTTTTATTCGTCTTAAAGTACTCACCAGCGCAGCTTGCCTCGGTTTTGATCATGTGCAGCGACGGGTTTGGGCTGCAGTCTCCTGCCTCTGATGAGGCCCGGGTGTGCCCATCATTTTCTGTGTAGGCCAAAGAGCAAGGCACACAAACTTTTGGGGAGGGGGAGAAATGAACAATGATCAGTGAATTTTGATTTAAAGCTTTCGTGACTGCAGGGATTAATCTTCTTGGTTCTTTCGGTAAAGTCACGTAGAAGGGAAATAATAAAAGAATAAAAATAAAACATAATAAAATGTTATTCTCACGACTGCTTGTGTTGTGGCCGAAACGTCGTGAGAATTGTATTTTATTATGTTTTATTCTCATTATTTTATTATTTCCCTTCTACGTGACTTTACCGAAAGAACCAAGAAAATGATCAGTGACGTAAGCGTTCCGGCCAGGTGGTTCAGCAGTAGAGCAAGCGGATCGCCATCGGGAGTTTGGGAATTTTATATCCTGGTCGGTGGAATGACTTGGCCATCATCCCTCCGGGATCAATAAAATGAGTACGACTTTGTAGGGAAGTTAACAATTGTTGTTCTATAATAGCCTGGCCCCCGCCATAGGAATATGGAATATTCACCATTGGATCAGTGCTGTAAAAAGAGATGAGCACTGCCTCAATGCTTGCTTTGGCTAATATTTGGCAGAAATACGACCACGTAAGTGTTTTTTTTCATCAGTTTGAAATGATTCTGCCAAAAGAGCAGGTAGTTGTATCTGGCTCAAAAACGTTTTTTTATAGACTTGACAAATGAGGTTGAAAAGCGTGGGGAAATGTTAAATACCCCGCCTGGTATACAAGTCGTGGGTTCGATCCCGACCTAGACGCCTGTATATTTGGATGTTGCGTGTTCTCCCCGTGGTCGAGTGGATTTTTCTCCGGGTCCTCTGGTTTTTCTCTCAACATTAAGAATCAACATCATGCGTTCAAGTATTTGACTGCCATACAATTGCACGTGATGATAAGGCACTTCGTCGAGGTATCACTTGTGGCCAGGTCGCTTCTGAAAAAGAGCCATATAGCTCAGTGGGCCTTAGCTGGTAAAATAAGAATAGTTTAGTTTAGCGTGAATGCATTTGCTCTATCGTCTGTCAATAACAGAAGGCCACGATAACTCCTGTGAAGATGATCCAATATGAGCAAAATTTTAGCACAAATGTCGTGTTGCTATTATGAACTTATCTATAATAAAATCGACTAAATTGATACAAGGATAGGTGACAACCAGCACTGAAGGCCTTGTCTGCTAAGGCGATGTCATTACATTAGACGTCATTTCGCGACGTCACTTATCATACTCCGCGTGAATACATCTCATTGTACAACTTTAAACGTAAACATATTATTGCTTTGCGAGCCGAATGCACTTTTACCATCGACATCTTGATCATCTGCATCATCCATTGCTTTTTCCTCAAAAATTATTTCCTTGCTGTCCGAAATGGAGCGTCCGGCACTGGCCCCAGCACCATCAAAGTCTCCCAGCCTCTGTGCGCAAACCAGTAGCTCTCGGCTCAAGCCGCTGAAAAGTGTGAGCAGCACGTCCACCAGGCCTCCCAGCGTCACGTCGCCCGGAGATGGCGCAGCGTCCCAGGGTGACGTCCCAGCGTTGTGGAGCTCGGCACCCTGCAGGGCCTTCACCACCTGCCGCAGCACGGCGTAGAAGCCGAAGGGCAGGCGGTCGCGCGCCGTGGAAAGCAGCTCGGCACGCACGAGGCCGTCCCCGATGCAGGCGCGCAGGACCCCGTAGTCCCGGATGCCCAGCTCAGAGTCCATGGCCCGGGCCACCTCCTCGTTCACGCCCTGCGCCTCCAGCCACGCCGGGAAGTCCCTGCTAGGCTCAAGCACTGGGGTTGCCATCGCGCACGCCATTCTGGTGGGACGTGCAAACATATCACGTTAGTTGCGTCATTAATTTGGTTAGCTGTTTGAAAAAGGAACTGAGCAGGTTCTCACCTGATGTAGAATCTCCTCTTTATGGGTATCGTGCAAGAAGATAGGCGTGGAGTCTGTGTTGAGGTCACGGTTGTTGCAGGGCTGGGATCAAGGCTGCGGTCAGCCACAAGCACAAGCAAGAACATAAATGTGCGAGTCACAACACTGCCAAACGATGCCATTTTGCAATGCTGAAAGCTGGCCATTAACAAAAAGGGCAGCGTGAAATCCCAAAAGCAACCACACAGTTAGCTCTCTGTTGTGTACATACCTTTGGAACCTCATTTGCCAGTAGAAAAATATGATAATTGTTTTTTTACCCTTTTATCTGGCAACAAAACTGACACCTTTTTTTTACAAGAAGTCATGTTTGCATAGACCACAATACCTGCAGTCATAATGCAAACAAAAAACATAACTCTGATAATGTATGCATTGTCCTTGAAGTTGATTGGTCCACACCCGAGACAGCTTTCCTGACGCCAAAAGGCGTCATCTAGTCCAACACCATGTGAGACTAGGCTCTAAGGCAGGGGTCTCAAACTCGCGACCCGCGGGCCAATTGCGGCCCTCGGGACGATATTTTGTGGCCCCCACCTTAATATGAAAGTTTAATGTTAGTGCGGCCCGCGAGTTTTATATTGTAGCAACCCCGCTGTTAGCTGCTGTGTGGGACAATGTTATGATGCTCTGGTTTCCTACTGTGTGCCTGTCCAGTGAATGCGGCATGCATGTGAGTGACATGGGGGGCGGGGTCGTGTGTGTGTTTGTGTACGTGTGAGAGTGAGAGAGAGAGCCGGGAGAGTAAAGAGTGGCTTTGGATGTGCGGAGAGCAGGAGGGTGAAATTCATAGTTTTCCGCTCTCTTTCGGGCAGGTCATGATGTATCCAGTGCTTCATTTGTAAATCACAAGGTGCCGGAACGCTAAGTACATATGACAGCGCAGGTACAACGAGCACAGGTCCCGAAACGCACGTAAAACGACGCTTAAAACAGCACACACATGCCACTTACAATGCAGTGGGACTTATTTAGGCTATACTGCAGTGACGGTATCAGTCTTTGTGTCAGTGATTAATAAAGTGGCATCTTGAGCAAAGGCGGAAAAAGTGGAAATAACGTGAATTTGCGGAAATTACGTCTCCGTGCGTCGCTGGTTGGCTAAACAATTGACTGAAACTTTATTGCGTGAGCGACAGCAAGTGGAATGAAGATATATCTTGTCACACAGCCCCAATCATGTCTTTTTCAAAGCCTGCAGTGAAGAGAAAGGTTGGTGACGAGCACAGACAATTTCAGGAAAAGTGGGAGATGCAATATTTCTTTGTTGAGCACATGAGCACCCCGACGTGTCTTATTTGTTCAGAAAAAGTTGCGGTGCACAAGGAATACAACCTCAAACGTCATTACTCAACTAGACATGCTGAGGAGTATGCAAAATACCAGGGAGATGAGAGAGCCAACTGGGTTGCTAATCTTAAAACATGTCTACTGAGGCAACAAAATGTCTTCAAGAAAGCAACCAAAGAGAATAATGCAGCAGTCGAAGTAAGCTACGTGGTTAGTGAGATGATTGCTAAGGCAGGAAAGCCATTCACAGAAGGCGAGTTTATCAAAAAGTGCATCTTACAGGCTGCAAGTATAGTCTGTCTGGAAAAGAAAGGTCAGTTTAGCAACATCAGCCTTTCTGCTAACACCGTGGCAGAGCGCATTTCTGACCTGTCAAGTGACATTTATGATCAACTGCGTGAGAAAGCCAAATTTTTCAATGCATACTCAGTCGCTCTTGACGAGAGTTCAGACATCACTGACACTGCCCAGCTCACAATATATGTCCGTGGTGTTGATGACAATTTTGAAGTGATGGAGGAGTTGCTCACAGTAATTCCAATGCATGGCCACACCACCGCTCAGGAGATATTTTGCCAGCTGTGTGATGCCATTGTGAATGCCGGTTTGCCATGGAAGAAGTTTGTTGGAATAACAACCGACGGAGCGCATTCAATGACAGGGAGGAGAAATGGACTGGTGGCACTTGTTCAAAGAAAACTAGAAGAGGAGGGTGTGGAGGAGGCCATTGCTCTGCACTGCATCATCCATCAGCAGGCCCTTTGCAGCAAATGCCTGAAGTTTGACAATGTGATGTCTGTTGTTGTGAAATGCATCAACCAAATCAGATCCAGGGGCTTAAAGCACCGGATGTTCCGTACTTTTTTAGAGGAAATGGAGTCAGAATATGAGGATGTGCTCTACTTCACCGAGGTACGTTGGCTCAGCAGGGGAAACGTCTTGAAGAGATTTTTTGAGTTGAGAGCAGAAGTGAAAGCCTTCATGGAGAGAAGGATGGGGTGGCTGTTCCTGTGCTAAGTGATCCCAAATGGCTCATGGACTTCGCTTTTCTTGTTGACATCACGCATGAGCTGAATGTACTGAACAAGAAGTTACAAGGCCAGGGGCAGCTCGTCAGTGCTGCCTATGACAACGTGAGAGCATTCTCCACAAAACTTGTGTTATGGAAAGCCCAGCTCTCTCAGACAAACCTTTGCCATTTCCCAGCATGCAAGGCACTCCTGAATGCAGGCACACCATTCAGTGGTGAGAAGTATGTTGATGCCATTTTGAGGCTACAGGAGGAATTTGATCACAGATTTGCAGACTTCAAGACGCACAGAGCCACTTTTCAAATGTTTGCGGATCCCTTCTCCTTTGATGTGCAAGATGCCCCTCCTGTGCTTCAAATGGAGCTCATTGACCTGCAGTGCAACTCTGACCTCAAAGCCAAGTTCAGGGAGGCGAGTGGAAAAGACGACAAGCTTGGGCAATTTTTGCGAGAATTGAACCCCAGCTTCCCTGAGCTTTCCCGAATGTTCAAGCGGACCATGTGCCTTTTTGGGAGCACATATTTGTGTGAAAAGCTCTTCTCCACCTTGAACTTCAATAAGTCCAAGTACAGGTCCAGACTTACTGATGATCATCTTCAAGCCATACTGAGGGTCGCAACTGCTTCCTCCCTCAAGCCAAATGTGGCTCAGCTATGTGAGAGGAAGCGCTGCCAGGTCTCCGGCAGCAAGAAGTAGGCAAGAGAAGCCATGTTCATGAGAACCGTTCATGTTCTTCAATATTCTATTCATGTTCAGAAGAACCCATTGAAGTTAAATAACTGTTAGTAATGACATTTGAGAAGTTTGATTTTTTTAGCAAAGTTTTTTTTGTGGAATACCTGATGCGGCCCAGCCTCACCCAGATACTGCCTCCAGCGGCCCCCAGGTAATTTGAGTTTGAGACCCCTGCTATAGAAGGAATAGTCGCAGACCCATCAAAGTGGTACTCGTACTACTCGCCTCGTCGAGCGGCATCAAAATATATGAGTGGTTAAGCTGTGGGAAGTGAAATAGACGAGCGACCAATAAAACACTATGTAATATGGAAATGACGCTTTTTTGCTATTCTCAAAATAATACACATGCAGTCATGCAAATATCTGATTTAACACAGCACAGCAAAACCAGTGTCACCATTCAATTCCGCTCGTCCAGGCGAGTAGAATTCAATTACATTGATTCGATGCGACGTTTCTTATGGGATATAATAAGCGACAACATTTGGACCCCAAACGGAGAGGATTCTGGGATGTTTGTGGTTTTTTGGCAATACCTCTAGAAGGAATAGTCGCAGACCCATCAAAGTGGTACTCGTACTACTCGCCTCGTCGAGCGGCATCAAAATATATGAGTGGTTAAGCTGTGGGAAGTGAAATAGACGAGCGACCAATAAAACACTATGTAATATGGGGATGACGGTTTTTTGCTATTCTCAAAATAATACACATGCAGTCATGCAAATATCTGATTTAACACAGCACAGCAAAACCAGTTTCACCATTCAATTCCGCTCGTCCAGGCGAGTAGAATTCAATTACATTGATTCGATGCGACGTTTCTTATGGGATATAATAAGCGACAACATTTGGACCCCAAACGAAGAGGATTCTGGGATGTTTGTGGTTTTTTGACAATAACTCTGGATGGAATAGTCGCAGACTCATCAAGGGGGTACTCGTACTACTCGCCTCGTCGAGCGGCATCAAAATATATGAGTGGTTAAGCTGTGGGAAGTGAAATAGACGAGCGACCAATAAAACACTATGTAATATGGGGATGACGGTTTTTTGCTATTCTCAAAATAATACACATGCAGTCATGCAAATATCTGATTTAACACAGCACAGCAAAACCAGTTTCACCATTCAATTCCGCTCGTCCAGGCGAGTAGAATTCAATTACATTGATTCGATGCGACGTTTCTTATGGGATATAATAAGCGACAACATTTGGACCCCAAACGAAGAGGATTCTGGGATGTTTGTGGTTTTTTGACAATAACTCTGGATGGAATAGTCGCAGACTCATCAAGGGGGTACTCGTACTACTCGCCTCGTCGAGCGGCATCAAAATATATGAGTGGTTAAGCTGTGGGAAGTGAAATAGACGAGCGACCAATAAAACACTATGTAATATGGGGATGACGGTTTTTTGCTATTCTCAAAATAATACACATGCAGTCATGCAAATATCTGATTTAACACAGCACAGCAAAACCAGTTTCACCATTCAATTCCGCTCGTCCAGGCGAGTAGAATTCAATTACATTGATTCGATGCGACGTTTCTTATGGGATATAATAAGCGACAACATTTGGACCCCAAACGAAGAGGATTCTGGGATGTTTGTGGTTTTTTGACAATAACTCTGGATGGAATAGTCGCAGACTCATCAAGGTGGTACCTTTTAACGTAGCGGCCGTCACGTAGTTCACTTTCATCGACCATATCGAGGAGAGCACTGCAGTCAGGATCACGGCAGATGTTGTGTACGTGGAATGGTGGTGCTGTTATTTTTACTGTTATTTTATTTCAACCACGAGATGGCTAGGTGGCAGCCATCTCAAGCCAGAGGACGAGAAGACTCAAGCCGCCACGCATATAAAGGATTTATAGTGAAAAACTTTGTTTTTACGGATTAATTTTTTTTATATTTTTAATTTTAACCACGTAAGTCCCGCTGAGCTCCATAGCGCTTTTATAAGAAGCGACCTGGCCACAGATGATAGCTCAACAAAGTGGCTTCTCGCGTGGACATTTAGAGCACCAAATATTCTCAACACGTCGACTCTAAATGTGGATGGGAACACCGCAGCACCGGGAGAGAAATCCACGCGACCACGTGGAGAGAGACACCGCAGACTCCACATCTAGAGCAGCAGCAGCAGCAGCAGGCGTCGGGGTCGAACCCACGACCTCCTGCACACCGGGCGAGGTAGTTAACATCTCCTAGCCACCGTGGCGACCCGAAGCCTTCATCCAGCAGTGGACTGCCAACACGGCATGGGGCATCACTGCGGGTCTACAAAGGTACCTGGTTGGAGGATGTGGAGCTGAGTGGACTTGCCGATGAGCGGTACCGGCGGTGTCAAGATCGGCCTCTGTGGAGGAGGAGGCTCGTGAGGGACGCTCACAACAACGAGCGGAGAGGCGGGCGGCTAAAACGCGGCGAGTTGGCACAGCTGGTGGCGTCTGCAGCCATCTCGAGTCGGTCAACCCCATGGCACCTGCAGGGTTCTGCCCCGTGACCTCCTGTCAGCGAGCCTTCGACACTTCGCGTGGCCTAAGAGTGCACCTAGCCTGGCACCAACGCCGCGGGGACGTCACCGCCACTTAGTGCCGAATGGTGACGGCTGCTGCTGCTGCTGTTGTTGATGCCGCTTGTGTGGACTGTCCTACTGTACGTTGACTTCGATGATTTTCCGTGGGGGAGGTGGGACCAGCGATGGACGAGTCCATGTTGGTGTCTGACAGGGGGGCGCGGGAGCCCCACGTGGACAGACCACCCCGACACAGCCGCATGCCTGCCAGGCTATTTTGCCGACGCCGGAGGCTCTGCGCAGTACTACGCCTCCACACCCCACCCGTGTCAAGCGACGACTTTGTCGTATAAAGTCCATATACCCAGCGTTGCCCGGCCGGACAATACATTTTAAATCTTACAAAATCTTTTAAACATTACATACCAATGACAAAACTACTGTCTAATTACTTTTTAACCCCACGCTCAAAAAATAAATTATTTTAAAGTTTACTGTGCAAATAGTCATTAAGCTGGATGAGCGGACTGCCAGTATATAACGTGCACTGTTGCCTCATTATTACATTGCGTCAGTGCACTGCGAGTATATAATGTAGACTGTAGCCTGCTTATTAAGCTGCCTCAGTGTACTAACAGTCTATAATGCTGACTGTAACCTGCTTATGAAGCACAGTGGGTGTACTGCCAGTCTATAATGTTGCCTGTAGCCTGGTTCTTTTATTAAGTTAGTAGATTGCTAACACTTAGGCTTTCGCTAACATTATTCATAAACACCGTAATTCTGTTTAGATCGCCTTCTTTATTCACGTGCTGTAACACTCCAACCACCCCACACGGCCCAATCAGTACTAAAGTGTCCCGTTGATGAACCAATCATAGTTCACTGCTTTACGCCACCGGTGTGTTCAAGCGTTACAACACTACAATTACCATTTAGGATTGGAAAACAAATGTATCATTATGTTTAAACCCCACGCACCAATAATCGATTCTTCACATCTTCACTGTACTCATTGTCATTCAGCTGGGTGAGCGTACTGCCACTCTATCATGTACACTGTAGCCTGCTTATTAAGCTCGGTGCTTGTACTGCCAGTCTATCATGTACACTGTAGCCTGGTTAATAAGTAAAGTCAGTCATTTTGTAACACGTACGCTTTGCCAAACATTAATAACAAACAACCTTATTGCCTTTACATCGCCTTCTTTATTAATGTGTTCTAACCCTCCACCACCCCCCACGGCCAATCACTAAGAAAGTGTCCCGTTCATAAAAGACTAATAGTTCACTGCTTTAGCCCACCGGTGTGTTCAAGCGTCAAACCACGAAAATTACCATTTCAGAGTAGGACGTTTCGCTTATGCTCGAGATGACCATCGAGATGACCATTGAGATGACCATTGAGCTGATCATGGAGATGATCATGGAGATGACCATCGAGATGATCATCGATATGATCATGGAGATGACCATCGAGATGATCATAGAGATGACCATGGAGATGACGATCGAGATGACCATCGAGATGATCATGGAGATGATCATGGAGATGACCATCGAGATGATCATGGAGATGACCATGGAGATGACCATCGAGATGATCATGGAGATGACCATGGAGATGACCATCGAGATGATCGTGGAGATGATTATGGAGATTGACATGGAGATGACCATCGAGATGACCATGGAGATGACCATCGAGATGACCATGGAGATGATCATCGATATCATGGAGATGACCATCGATATCATCATGGAGATGACCATGGAGATGACGATCGAGATCACCATCGAAATGATCATGGAGATGATCATGTAGATGACCATCGAGATGTTCATGGAGATAAGCATGGAGATGACCATCGAGATGACCATCGATATGATCATGGAGATGATCATGAAGATGACCATCAAGATGACCATGGAGATGACCATCGAGATGACCATGGAGATGATAATCGATGTGAAAATGGAAATGACCATGGAGATGATGATGGAGACATGATAATGGAGATAATCATAATTGAGATGATCATCGACATCATAATGGAGACGATCATAGATATGATAATGGAGATGATCATCGAGATGATCATGGAAATTACCATCGATATATTCATGGAGTTGACAATGGAGATCATGAAAATGACCATGGAGATCATGGAGATGGCCCTCGAAATGACCGTGAAGATAATGGAGATGATCATAGACATGATCATCAAGATGGCTATCGAAATGATGACCGTGGAGGTGACCACAGATGATCAGAGGTGGCCTTCAATGAGATGACTATCGAGGTGATGACCACGGAGGTTTAGGCTCTCGGTATCGCCCCTCCACCACCTCCGCCCCGCCCCCCTCCACACGTGGCCACGCGTGGCCGTGTATGCGCACGGGCGCGTGTGGCTGTGTCGCTCTGTACACGTGTGTTCGTGGCGGCATCGTCGTCCGTCATCTCAGCGCTGTGATCGTCGCCGTAGCCCGTCGCCGCTCTCGTGTCGTCTCGTGTTGTCCGTCCGTGTGTGCGTCTCTCGTGTTCTCCAAGCGCCTCTTCTTTTACACCACGATCGCTCTCGCCCTCAATGATTATGAAACGCGCGGGGCAGGGAGGTGGGTTTTATACCGTCGACGCAAAACGTTTCGAGGGCGTGGTATCGTTTAGCTGTAGGAGCTTGGGTGGGATAGGGGGTTGTTTTTTTTAATCGATTATGATGATTACGACGATGGTAACGATGATGGGTTTTGTTACACGAAGGCTGCGTGCGCTCAGCACCAGAAATGGGGTTAAGGGGGGGGTGTATAGGTTTTTTTTTACAGACGGCACTTCCAAAAATAACGTGTTCTCTCGTCTGTGTTTTGTACATATTCTGTTTCGAATAAAAAAGTACACACGCGTCCCGCAGAGTCTGTCGTCGTGGTGGTGGCTGACACGGTCGCATCGCAAGGCTCCTGTTGCTCACTCCTCCTTGATGGTCATTCCCAGGCGTGGCAGCACGCTGCTGTTTGGCCGTCACGAGTCGTGGAACCAATTTTGAATTCACGAGCAATTTATTTTTAACACGCGACATGACGCCGCTTTCCGCACGGACGGGCCGTTGTATTTTTCTAATTTGGTAAATGATAGTAAAAAACATCTATCTTAATTTCAAGAGCCGCCATGCCACGTGAATACAAGACGGTGGGTCCTTAATAAATAGCGGCACGAAGCGGTCGCTTAAAGAGCTGCAAGTGGCTTCGGAGACGCAGGTTTGCCCGATCCTTGACGTCGACGAATATGACCTCGCAACTCTCTTGCATGGAAGAAAACGAGAAATACACGTTCCCAAAAAGGCTTTCAAGAGGGGGACACACGAATGTTCACGGCTAATCCCCCATTACAGGGGGCAACATCGGAGAGTTCTGCACGGTGTAGCCAACGCTACCCTCGCCAACATGCGGAGACAGGGAAGGGTTCCAGTCAATTGTTTCCACCTTCACCGTCACACACAGCTCCCTCCTTCACACACAACTCTCTCCTCTTCATCCACAGCTCTATGCTGCTGACGGGCCCTCGTCACCCCCATGGCCTCCTCTCCCATTCCCTCCCTTCAAACGCACTGCTGCGACATTGGCGTTTATTGCATGTTTCGGTGGAATTTATCCAAATGAAGTAAAAATCCTGATTCTAAAATGTATACACACATTTGATGGGTGCAGTCATTGTTAGTTGGGCCAAAGCCATCCACTCGTTAAACTCGAGAACCCGTTCAATCACAGGCAGTGGCTGCAGCCCTCACTCCAACCCACGGTGTCAGTGGCGCCGGCTCGGCGCTAGGACCTCTGAGCTGCCCCAACCTCCTCGTGGCATCTCGAGCGGTGTGCCGCCACAAAGTTGTGCTAATTAGCAGGACCGACTCTTTGGTTCGGTCCGCCGTGAAGATCGAGCGAGCTCGAAAGTGTCCCGTTGCAATGAAAGGGGTTGAGAAATCGCTGCTATCGAGTACGTGGATAAACCTATGATCGATCGGGGCTGTGGCTCTCGCACAGATCTGGAAGATCGCCGGCGAACGGTGGAACAGCATGGACGTCCGGAATGAACGCCGCGTTCGAGACCCAAGCATCAACCACCGCACA